GCTTGGTTGTCATTGACTTAATAGTTAATATCTACATATAAGCAATTATGTACCATATTTCTCATATTTGTCTTTCTGGGTATGGGTTACCTCACTCTAGTTCTATCCATTTGCCTGCAAATTTCATGATTTTATTTTTTAAAATGGCTTAGTAGTGCTCCATTGTGTAAATGTACCACATTTTCTTTAGCCACTCATCTGTTGAGGAACATCTAGATTGTTTCCAATTTCTGGCTATTATGAATAGAGCAGCAAGGAACATGGTTGAGCAAATGTCTCTGGGGTAGGATGGAGTATCTTTTTGGTATGTGCCTAAGAGTGGTATAGCTGGGTCTTGAGGTAGATCTATTTGGATGCTTTTACATGCATTCATCCAGTTTGACCAGCACCATTTGTTGAAGATGCTCTTTTTCTAGTGTGTGTTTCTGGCTTCTTCATAAAGAATCAGGTTTCTATAGGTGTGTGGATTTATATCTGTGTTTTCAATTCAATTCCATCGATCAACATGTCTGTTTTTGTGCCAATACTATGCTGTTTTGTTGTTTTTTAAACACTATAGCTCTGTAGTACAACTTGAAATTGGGGATAGTGACACCTCCAGTGCAGTTCTTTATTATTCAGGATTGCCAAAGTGTCTTTCTTTCTTTCTTTCTTTCTTTCTTTCTTTCTTTCTTTCTTTCTTTCTTTCTTTCTTTCTTTCTTTCTTTCTTTCTCTCTCTCTCTCTCTCTCTCTCTCTCTCTCTCTCTCTCTCTTTCTTTCTTTTTTTACTACAACATATTATTCAGCTCCAAAGAAGTGAGATCCTGGACCTTACAACACAAGCATAATTGTGAGCCTGATCTATTCCAGGACACTAGTAGTTGAGTCTTTCAGAGCCTTGCTACCTACCCATGTGACCTCTGATTTACCAGCAGCAGCCGCAGCATTGTGATGCTACTAAAAATACAGATTTCAGGGCCTTCAGGCCTTCTGACTCGGAACCTGCATTCAGGAAGAACTCTACATGGTTCCAGAAAAGCAAACTCACACAGGAAGTACAATATAACAAATGTCCAAAAGTAAATGTTTATTAAAAAAAAAAACCTAGAATTGCCTTTGTAAGTAAAATTAAACTAGAATTACACCATGAATGTGAATGAAGCTGGTCTTGTGACATTAAGGGAACATTTTGAAGTGGAGAGAGGGCTATGTCCTGCAGGTATTAGAGATGTGAGAGGAGGCTTCCTAGGGTTGAAAGTTTCCATAATCGATATTCTCCCGTGTATGTTGGTCCTGCCTTCCCTTACCTCTCCCACTGTGTTCACTCTCTGTTCAGGCAATGGCATCTTCACATAGCTGCTCAGATGTGAAAATTTGCCAGGCTGAATCCCATACAGAGCCAGAAGGTAAGAAACCTCTCTAACGTATCCCTGGCCTCAAAACGTGGTCTCCAAACACAAGGAACTATTCTTAAAACCACCCACAGAAGCCATGCTTTCTCTGACCAACTTGCAAGACATCTGAGCTGCAGAAATCCCTCCAGGACATTAGATAGACAAGGACAGTGATGGAGATAGACGTGTTACAGTTCAGAACCTCAGGCATACCATCAGCAAACACAGAATATTTTTTTTTATTACTTTACATTGTATTAAGTTATTGGACAGGAGGACAGGTGCTGTGGTGCATGTGTGGAGGTTGGAGGACTACTTTTGGGAATCAGTTCTCTTCTACCACCAAACCCAGGGATCAAATTCAGGCCCCCAGGCTTGTCAGCAAGTGCCTTTACCCACTGCGATACCTTGCTGGCCCTGCAGACCAAGTTTAGATATACATGTTCTGATGAAAAAGTTTAAAACATTGTTTTTCCAGGGCACTGTTTGGCAGCCCCCAGACTTTCTTCTTTAAAAACAAACAAATGCACAAACACAAACAACAAACAAAATATCACCAAAGCATATTACCCCTCAGACAAGAGGGATCTGGCTAGGTCAATAAATTATAAATTTTCTAAGCCTCGTTAAGGAAGGGAATGGCTCAGTTGCCCTAAGCCTACTGGCTATGGGTGGGTTAGGACTTCTGTTGGTCTTTTCTGTGTCAAACACACAGATTGCAAGCCCAGCGCCACTTTGAGATCTTTGGCAGCAGTAACTCTGCAGCTCACACACGATTGAGCCTGTATGATAATAAATATTCAGAGACAGGTAATGCCTAGGGGGCGCTCACCAACCTAAGACAGAGTGCCTGTGTGGCCTGGGCAGGCATCTCCATGACGGGTAAGGTGACCTGCTGACGTCCCAAGCAACCTAAGTCAGAAGCTCATTTTCTAGTAAAAGGGGGACCTGTAGGTCCCTGGCCTGTTTGGGGTAACTGTTGCCTTGCTTGCTGACCTTGACCTTGATATCCTCCCTATGCTAATTCCCTGCCGGGTTCCACCTTCCCGAATGCTTAAGGGAAGTTCCTTGTCTATGTATCCTGCATAATGGGCGTTAACAGTTTAGATGCAAGATTGTAAAACATAGGTAGCGAACTTCTACCCTCTGGGGTTCTCCCATTGTATTCAAGACCTCTTCCTCCCTTCAATAAATGGCTATATATATATTTCTTTATGTATATGGGTGTTTTGCCCGCATGTGCATCTGTGTACCATATGTGTGCAATGCCTGTGCAGGTCAGAAGAGGGCATTCAATCTCCCTGGGACTAGAGTTACCAGCAGTAATGAGCCTTCTTGTGGTGCTGGGGATTGAACTCAGGTCCTCTGGAAGATAAAACAACACTCTATCCAGCCCCCATTTTTTGTAATTATTATCAAAATATTTTGAGAAAATATATCTGAGAATTCATGCTATAAAATAATCTTACTTCACATTGTTGAAACTGGAACCTCCCAAAATTAATGAATGTAGAATCTTTTTAAAAGCATTTGCATGCCTTCTGCATATAGTCATGATTTAGAAACTGTAGCCATTAGGAATAAAATCATTCCATATTCTCAGCTGATTGAATTGACTTGCTAATCTGTTGTCTTTGATTCAACAGCAAAATGCCTTCTGCTGTCAGATCCCAGCCCTGTTGCTATGATTTCCAACCATTCAGGTGATCTTCCAAGGGATCTTGGGGTGGCAGGTAGGGGTGGTGGGTTGTTCAGCCTCCTCAACAAAGTAAGCAATTCTTTCTGATGACATGTAAGCAATGTGTGATGTGGCACCTTCCTTTCCTTTGAGACTTCAAAATCTTAACTTTTCAAATAGAACAAACCCTGGGAATTAATAATACAAGGCTTAATGCCCTACTGAATGGACAGATTTCAATGAAGAAGTACAAACCAGATGGCAGGCTGAGCACAAATCACAGGGTAGGAAGGTATGGGCAGAAGACAATAGGGAGGAGAGTACAAATTGGGGGGAGCAGTTGAAAGCATCATGTTTATGAGGCAAGGGATAAACCCGTGTGTGTGTGTGTGTGTGTGTGTGTGTGTGTGTGTGTGTGTGTGTGTGTGTGTGATGGTATGCATATAATACATAATTATATAGTGCAACTGATGACCTGTTACACTACCATCTGCTATTCTAAGTAGATTCAGCCATCAGGCCTGCATTTGGCTCACACTCATCCCTCACGAAAAATCTGACCTCTGTCACTTATGGACAAGTCATCTATTCTAATAGAGATGGCAACACAAACAAGTTCTCTGCCCACAGTAAATCCATATTCGGGGAATCCCCAGCCACAGCTGCAGCTGGCCCTGCCCGATGGCTCAGAGGTTAAGAGCACTGACTGTTCTTCCAGAGGTTCTGAGTTCAATTCCCAGCAACCACATAGTGGCTCACAACCATCTGTAATGAGATCTGTTGCCCTCTTCTGGCGTGCAGTCATACATGCTGTATACATAATAAATAAATAAATCTTTAAAAAAAAAAACAAGTCTTAAAAAAAAGAAAGTCTCAATAAATGCAGATATCTCCCTCTGGCAATCTCCCACTGCCACTCCCTTCCTGACAGAGCTGCTGCTTCCAGCTGCCTCCTGCCCACCCAGCTGAGGGCCCAGACCCAGCAGGGAGAGGATTCAGACAAGCAAATTCTCAATACCATGACTCCTCAGAATAATGACGAGCCTTTAAAGTGCATCCATTCCTCAGATCAACCCCATGAAAGAGAGTTACCTTGTCTAGTCCTCATTTTATTGGTCTGAAAAGTAATATTTGGAGAAATTTAGAAACCTATCTTGTGAATGATAGAAGAGAGGTGATTGATTGGAGAGAGGTGATTGATAGAAGAGAGGTGATTGATTGGAGAGAGGTGATTGTGTCCGAGTCAGCATGGTCTCAGTGCTGCAAAGGGTCCAAAGCTCCTCTATCAGTGAGTTCAGGTTAAAGAAAAAAACAAGAGGACTATACAGTGTCTGAGCCTGAGGCACAAAGCAAAGGTTTACAGCTGGACTCAGACTGACGCACTACGTGGAACCTCTATTACTGTTTTCCAGGTCCAAGAATTAAGTCTTCCCCAAGTAAACATTTTATTCGTGACACAAACCAGCAGATTCTAGTCCTGGAAGGCAGCACCCTCGTGGCGGTTCCAGACAAGCGCTGCAAACGTGGAGGTGACCCTTAATTTTCTTTACCCAGTGGAGATGATATGTGCTCCCTCACAGGCCCTGGGCCTGGTCCCGGCCCTCTTCCAGGGGACTGCTTGGCTTCTCCTCCTCTTAAAAGGAGAAAGTGCTGCTGTTAGGTAGCAGCTGGGGGTGAGTTTGGACCAGTGATGAGCTTGAACAAGTGAGATGATACTGGGAACCAAAGATGTCCCCCAACCAAAAGAAGCCTTTGCAGATGGGTGGGGGGTGATTAAAACCAGAGATGGAGAGAGGGGAGATCTGAGAAGCAGAATGTTCAAGGCTCCTGAATCAATGTGAGTGTGGGGATTTATCAAGCTTGCTATGCCTGAAATGTCAACAGGATAAAAAAGAAAAGGAAGGAGGAGGGGGAAAAGACACTGTTTTTATTCTAGAGCTGACCCGGTTTTCTTTTCCCAGAGACCTTTTATGTGTCAACTTTACCCATAAGTACCAGGAGCTCAAAGGCAAATCGGATTGCTTTGGCTGTATCTAAGGGAGAACGCTATCTCTGCTGTGACAAAGTCAAAAAACCCAAGTGTCCCTCATTAAAATTAAAGGTAAGAGCTAAGGAAATCTGCCTGTCCTCTAGCTCAGGGAAGTAGAACTCCTTAGTGCTAAGACCAACAACCTAAACTTTTTAGCAAAGACCAGCCTGAAATTGCTTCTATCCCCCGAAAAGTATCCTGGTCACGTGTTAGCCACTTCTCAGGCACAGTAACAAATATCTAAGACAATCACCTTCTAGAGAGAAACAGATTTTGGTTTACAGTCTTGGCTAATGGACCCTGATGCTCTGGGGCATCTGTGGGGTGGTACGCCGCAGTGGAAGCATGTGGGGGTAACGGGGCACAGACTGCTCATTTAATGGCTGGGATGCAGAAGAGGGAGAAGGGGTTGAGGTCCCACAATTCCCTCTGAGGGCACACTACCCCACGAGTAAGCCCCCTTTAATATTTCCATCGCTCCCAATGGCCCCATGGTGACTTTGACATGTAGGCCTTTGGGGGATGTTCTAGGTCCAAACTGTAGCAGCTACTAATAAATTCTCCTTTGTATTTCAAAAAGAAAATTAAAGACCTGAAGTCCCTAAAACCTGAGAAGCTCCTGCCCTTGACCTTCCTGAAGGAAAAGGCTGGCTCCTACTTCACACTGGAGTCAGCTGCCAATCCAGGGTACTTTATCTACACCAGCAGCAAACCCAGGCAGCCCGTAGGAGTGACGAAGGAGCTGGGGAAACAGAAAAATACCCAATTTGAATTTGTAAATGCGAATGTGGATCTAAGTGAAGTCGAAGACTGAAAACACAATAGGCCAGTGCTCAGACCAACTATGATAGCAGAATTTGGTCTCAGCCTGATACCAATCAACAAGTAGGAATAACTTCTCTTTATAAATGCTACCTTCAATGAGCAAGTGTGGGGATTTGATTCTTTGTGTGTGTGTGTGTATGTGTCATTTATTTCTTTAAAGTGTTTATAGTTAATTTTAAATTTCTAGGCTGAAATGACTTTATGGAGAAAAATAACCTCAAGACATGTAGTCAAGGAGGAGAGTTTAAATGTTGATACTACCCATAGCTTCATGGGCCTTAGGCCCTGTCTTCACAGAGAAGTAGAGTTGAACTTTTTTTGAATTTTTTTCTTTTTACAACATTGAGTTTACCCACTCAACAAACATTTTATTAATTGCCTCTTAGCACTTTTTAACCACATTGATTTCATCACATTATGAACTAGTTCCTATGAAGAAAAATAATATCATTGAATTTCAATCCATGCTTCATTCAGATAGCACTTATTTAATTTCTCAGTTGGCTAAACCATGTCATTGGTTATTATTTGAAAAAATAACTATGCTAATTCTCTCATTACAAATCAAAGAAATAACACACAGAAAAGTTTAAACTGACAAAATAGTGAGGTCAGATTTTGATTTTTCAAATAAGTAATAGGATGTATGAAAGACCTTCAATGTGTGGTAGGAATTGTAAAAAAGCTACCTATATTTTATAGTACACATTGGGAAACATATTTGGTTCTTTATATTTTTATGCATTATTTGTTTTGCAGTGCTGTGATTGAACCTAGAGACTTGTGCAGGCTGGAAATGCTTTATCATCGTACATAAACTATTCTGAGATACTGTCTTGGTGACTTTTCCAGGCCTTCCCTGTAGCTAGGCAGATCTTGATCTTGTGATCTGGTATATGATAACCTCATCCACTGTGAAAGGCATTGCTTTGTAGTTTCTGTTTATCATAGAGAAGACAGAGGCTTTCCAAGCAGAATCTCAAATAATGGGATTTGCAGTGAGTTTAGATTACAAGCTGCAGGCCAGATGCAGACCAGAGCTTCTTTCAAGAGTAAATTAGTGCTACTTCCATCTTTCCATCTCTGGTGTCGTCTTGCCGTCACGGGTCTGAATCTGTCCCTTGATAGTGGCACTTCACTAGATGAAGCAGGAAGTGACTAGCACTTACTGAGATTTTGAAATTACTCTGTTCCTTCAACTCCTCAGCAGCCTTGGGGAGTCTGTGTTCCGTGTGACAAGCTGCATTTGGTTTTGACTTAATTATCTCACACAAGATGGCTCAATACATCTTCAGCTTGCGTTGGCGCATAACTACCCTCAAATGAACCCAGGCCAAATGAGAGGCTCTGTTATTTTCCATACTTCACTCCCCCGATGTCAGGGAGGAATGTGTAGGCTGCAAAACACCATCCCAGGGTCTTATATGTGTCCTAAATGTATGTGGTTCACGCAGTAAAAGGTCTTCGGGTAGGGAGTCCGGGGCTGACAGGACGGGTTGTACTGTTATCTGTTCAGTTCATCATCATGCTTCCAAATGAGAGTCCATCTGTCATGATGCTAAGTCAGGACTGAGGCTAAACTGAAGACAAATACTTCAGTGTGGAGACTTGGATAAGATTGGGTAAATTGGCAGTATAATATTAACAGTTTAGGATTGATGGACCAAGAAAGACAATATGCAAGGAGTTCAAAAGCTTTATGGATACAGACATGTGATGTTTTCTATTGAAAATCTACATATCATTCAGTATGTTCTGGAATACTAGTGTTATAACTTGAGTTTGAAGTGTATTGCGCAGACGGGTTTTGAGCACATATTCCCCTGAGGGTGATACTCTTTTGGAAAGTAATGGAACCTTCAGGAAATGGGGCCTAGCTGGCTTGAGTTACTTACCAGCAGTGTAGTTTCAACAAACTACTGTTCTGATCCCCCTTGGGACCCCATTTTGGTAAAGGAGATCAGGGCTCCCAGACTGCTTTTCAGATCCTCATTATGGCAAGTCTCCCAGGGGTCAGCCTTGAAGCATATTTGGTATGGAATGCCTTAGAGTCATTTCAGCAAATTGTTGAACAAATTAACTGTATGGTCTTCTTGCAGAGCTCAGCAGTCTCTCATCTCTGTTTTGATACTTTTTTTTTTTTGCATTTAAAGTCAAAGCTCAGAAAGGCTGCCCTGCTAGGCTATCACTGCTGGAAAGTGCAAGAGGACTCAGAGTAAGATTTTCCAACAATTCATAGTCTTTATACCACCAAAGAGGTGGGGGATACCTGCATGCTCCACTCTAACCCCAAACCATGCCATGGACTTGACTACTAATTGTGTAAATAACATGTATACTAGATGATATTTAGTTTTTGGTATAAACCAGAAACTCCTAGAGATACCAAAAAGGACTTGTGACTAGCTAAAATAACAAGGGTTATGATGTTATTGAAATCACCAGGACTTAAATTAATACTTACATACTCGTATAACTGTCAACCTAAATGAAAAACCAGAGATAAGTTCTTCAAAGAACATTGACATTTATTTTGGAATAGCAGATCATTGTTGTGGGAATATGCATGTCACAGGAGACTAGAGATACACTTAAAGGGATTGAAGCAAGGGAGAGGTTTTTAAAGTAAAAAACGAAGAAGATTGCACCAGCTAGTTTGAAACGGTATTTTTTTTGGTGTCTTAGGGTTTTTATTGCTGTGAAGAGACACCATGACCACAGCAACTCTTACAAAGAAAACATTTAATTGGGATGGCTCGCTTACAGTGTCAGAGGTTCAGTACATTATCATCATGACGAGGAGCATGGTGGTGGGCAGGAAGATGTGGTGCTGGAGCTGAGGGTGCAACAGGAAGTCAAGTGACAGACACTGAGGGAAGCTTGAGCAAAAGAGACCTTAATGCCTGCCCTCACAGTGACACACTTCCTCCAAAAAGGCCACACCTCCTAATAGTACCATTCCCTTTGAGGGCCATTTTCTTTCAAACCACCACATTTGGCCACGGTGATGAATAGCAAGGGTGACATTGGTCCAAAGTTGAATTGAAAGTTTCTAGGCACATGTCTTTGGTGAAGTATTTTTTGTTGATGTTTACATTGAATTGGCCTACATGCAAGTTTGTGGTTCTGGCAGTCTCTTGTGACAGTTACTGTCAGGCAATCTTTGGTAAGAACTCACCCTTATTAGTATTTAGCTATATTTAATTTTTGTTAGCAATGATACAAATACTCTATTGATTCTGATAACTTTCCCAAAACTTTCATCTAGGTCTACAATTTGAAGATAGTTCATACCATTCCAGGAAATGTAAAAAGACCCAATGGGTTGATTACTATAGTTATTTTTCTTTTACTCTTTACTCTTAGGGGGGCCCATCACCCAGCCCCTAAATAATCACATGGAGACTTACTCTTTCTTATAAATGCCTTGCCTTAGCTTGGCTTATTTCTTCCCAGCTTTTCTTAATTTAAATCATCCCATCTACCTTTTGCCTCTGAGCTTTTATCTTTCTCCATTCCTGTATCTTTTCTTTCCTTTTTATTCCACATCTGGCTCTTGGCTGGCTTCTGGCATCCTCCTCTCCTTTTCTTGCTCCTCTTTCTTCTCTTTTTCTCCTACTTGAGAGAATACTTTCTCTATTCTCTCTGCCTGGCAGCCCTGCCTATTTCTCTCCTGCCTAGCTATTGGCCATTCAGATCTTTATTAGACCAATCTGGTGTTTTAGACAGGCAAAGTAACACAGCTTCACAGAGTTAAACAAATGCAGCATAAAAGAATGCAACACATGTTTGCATCATTAAACAAATGGGCCACAGCACAGACTAATATAACACATCTTCAACTAATATTCCACAACAGACTACCTGGGGGAACTCAAGACAATTAAGCATGGGAATTCCTAGTGATGTGGTAAGATGTTGAAGAAAGCTTGAATCCCCTACACTAAACTACTTTGAGACTCACAGGCTGTGGATTATTGCTACCCCATGGTTGGATGAGGAGAGTGAGTCATGCCAGGCTGATATGGAGATGTGAGGATGGCCATAGTTTCAGAAAGTGGAGCAAGCAGGGAACAGCTCTGGAGAAAGTAGCACAATAAGGCACATTCTGTTCCCAAATGCCCAAAGAAGAGGTGTGGGCTGTGCCATGTCAATGGGGTACACAAAGACCCTTCTCATTCATTGCTCTTTCTGTAAAACTTGTTTCACCAATGAGACCAGGACATGCATTCAAGCATTCCAAGGCACACCTTGTACTTTTAAACCACTGCCCCTTCCATTGTCCCTCACAGGGATGGATGCATCCAGAGGCACGTAGGCAGATAGATCAGGATGCCACAACTTGGGATAAAACACCCTCACCAGATGGGAAGTTATGGCTGGCTTCATGATGTCTATGTCTCTTCTTCTCTTCTTCATTTCCTCCTCCTCCTCCTTTTTGTATTAGTAAAGAAAAGCCATGAAGACCCCCCCCCCAATGGTGCAAAAAACTCTTGCTTGTCAAGCTAATCTCTTCCCCTCTGGTTTCTGGGTACTGACTAATTCTACATATACATTTGTGATGGACCTGATTGAGACTGGTCTCCTTGAGGTCAGAATCTGCATCTAGGCCTATTCAGCCTTCCATTGCCAACCCTAACCACGTCCCTGGCAGAGGGTGGCTCAGCCATCCCTTGCTGTGGAGCCTCTCCACACTGTCCTCTGCTGGCTACCTCCTAGTTGGGGACAGTGCACGGCCACCACTCTCCCACACAACAGAAGTCCTCTGTGGTTTGTGCTCACAGAATCTCTGTTTATTTGAATATGTCTAGTATCCTCTGGCAAGCTTCTTTTTTAGTGTAATTTTTACTTAATTTAACCTAAAGCAACTATCACTGCTTACAACTGAAAAAGCCAGTAGTGAGGCAACTTATTTCTGAGTCTTGCTCCCATTATTCTGGTTCTAGACCCTGAGATTCTGTTCTGCCAACACTGTTACCCTTTATGAGA